CATTAACATATTTTGAAAACCTAACATTGTGTATTCTGAACCATATGCTAGTTACAATTCATTGTCTGTTACACAGCACCAATACCCATGATACATCTTAGAATGAAACTACCATATTCAGACAAGAGGAAAAAAAAATGTTTCCTTAATCAATATTGAAAAGAAGTTTTCATGTGAAAATAAAATATAAATGTCTATAAGAATGCAGCCAAATATCTCCTCATTTAGAAAACTATCATCATAAAGAGGACATAGCACTTTGTTAACCGTACTGCTTATATCTTGCTGTCAATCAAGAATTCACCTCAGCTTTTGGAGTGTTTGTTTTGATCAATCCTAAAAGCAACACAATCATTTTAAAGACTGCAGGCTACAACAGCAACAATCTTTGACTGTTAAAAAAATAAATAAGTAAATTCATCTTTCAAATCAAAATTATTACAAAAGTGGAAATTACAGTTAAGGAAATAGAAAAATAAGCCAATTATAATCTGAGTCTTCTGACTATGGCTCCAAATTTAATACAAATATCTGTATATAAAACTTTTTCAAAAGGCTTAATTCTGCCAGCCAGATCCTAACACAGAACTTTCCAAGTTTCTTTACTGAGTAACCTTAAATACCCATTTTCTGTGAACTTCTGCTAACCTAGTTGCAGTCACCCCACCCCGATGAAGAAATATTGAAATTTCTTTCCCTACTACTTTTATAGTTCCCTAAAAGAAACTGTTAACATAGTTTAATCATCTGAAGATGTGGCAAAAATTGGTACACAGTACTAATTACAGAATTATGGACTACAGCCAACAATATAATATTCTAGACTAAACAAGAAATAAATTTAATGTATGATTGACATTGTAGCAGGTTAAAAACACCTCAGAGATTTCAGACCAAAATTTACCTGCGTATTTTGACCTTTATGTTGTGTCTGATCTGTTGCTTTGCATTTTTTCTCAATTTTCATAGGCTTTAAATTTAGATCAGTCAATGCAATGATCTAATAATATAAAATAACATCTAATTCTATAATATCTTAATTCATTCACTGTATTAAAGATGACAAATTAGTATCTGCCCAATTTTTCTTATCAGCTAGCAGGCTCACCAGAATGAAACATGGTATTTTCATTCCATGAAGCTATGTGAAGTACAGAAGAAGTGATATAATTCCTTTACCAAACTCTCTAAAACTGAGATTTACTTTCAATATAGAAAATGTTTCCATTCAAAATAACTCCACAACGAGCATCTCATAATCTCATGAGACAACAATCAAGTGGCTTTGCTCATTCCTCACTGCCCAGTTAGTCAGTTTTTAGATTTCAGTGCTCAAACAGTTTTACAAATAAGCTTCAGAGTCGATGCAAGTAATTTTAACCCTGATTTCACATCAAGGAATTTTAAAGATACAGTACTGACATGACATATTTTGTGGGGCATGTAGTGTTGTTCTGAGTGGTAAAATTTAAGACGTTTAACCTAAATGTTCCATTTTCCCTAAAAAAGGAAAAGCCATTTTAATAGGAAAAGAAAAACAAGCAATAACAACTAGGGAATTTAAATTGAGATTTAAAAATAAACATACACACAAAAAAAGCAAATAACAAAAAGCACAGCCCTATAAGAACAGTTAGCTTGGCACAGTGAAGACTAAATTTAAGACATGAAAGACAAACTGTGTAATAAATAGGGCCACAGCTGTAAAGTGTCGTTTTTTTCCTCCTAAGACGCCAAAATTGCACTCTAGTTGTGTTGGGAAGCAGCAGAGTTTACAAGATTGAGTAGGAATAGCTGTACAGGCCAGACGTAATTTATTCAGTTTTTGTTTTTAAAAAAGTTGTAATTCTACAATTTCAAGAGCGCAGAGGTTATAGTCACTGAATGACTATTTGATACTATGTCTTCTTCATACTTGAATTATTTTTCAACATCTGTAGGCTTGTTGCCTGTGGGCTTCTTGCGTGCTTACACCTGTTTGCCTCCTCCACGAATTGCACTTGGATGAGTTGGAGAAGCTGCTGGATGTTGTCCAGGACGTATAGGTTTAGCAATCTGTGCAGAATGCCCTCTTCTGGCCATATTCTTTGACCTGACTGCTTCCTTTATACGATCAACTTCTTGCTGATAGCGTTTGCGATCACGAGATGCATTTTCTTTGGCTTCTTTTAGTGCTGACTCCAAAGCTTTCACTCTCTCTGCTGTTGCTCTAAGTCGCTTCTCTAATTTAGGAAGTTCACAGCTAAGATCTGCATTATCACGTACCAACTGTTTGTGCACCTTAGTGAGTGGCCACGAGCTAGAGCTGGGGGTGTAGCTCAGTGGTAGAATGAACATACATACACACACACACACATATATAAATTTTTTTTTTTGGCAGCACTGGAGTTTGAACTCAGGGCCTCACACCTGCTAGACAGATGCTCTTACTACTTGGGCCACTCCACCAGCACTTTTCTTTGTGATGAGTATTTTCAAGATAGGGTCTCCTGAACTATTTGTCTGGGGCTGGCTCCAAGCCACAATCCTCCTGATCTCTGTCTCCTGATTAGCTAGGATTACAGGCGTGAGCCACTGGTGCTGCCTAGTGTTCTGTTTTAGTAAAGTCCTCTAGATCGGGAAGATATCCACAGTGGTGTCCCCCAAAATATGGTCATTGAAGCAAGGATTCTCTGAGGTGCTATACATAATGAGAGAGTTCCATTAGTTTTGGAAATCTCGTTTTTTGTTTTTTTTCTTTTGAAACCGGACCTTACTGTGCAACCTAGGCTGGCCTTGAACTTGTGATCCTGCCTCATCCTCCTGAGTGGTGGGATTACAGAAATGTACCACTGTACCTGACCTTGGAAATCTTTTAAGTCATCATCCTTCTTGTGGAGAATCACTGTCCAAGTTAGTACATCAGAAGCCTGTGGGAAATCTTAGATTGAAGAAACCATTTTTTAAAACATTTTCATTGTTTTAAAAAATTTGCATGGTCTGGCAGAGTGTCTCAAGTGGTAGAGTACCTGCCTAGCAAACAGGAGGCCCGAGTGCAAACCCTAGTGCAGAAAATGTTTGCTTGATCATAGAACCAGTATTTGTTAGCATGAGTGCAATAGGTTAAAAATTCTGTTGTAATGTAGAAATTTTATTAAAGAACCATTTAAGTACAGTTGTATATATAACACAATTAAAACTTCTCAGCTAGTTTTGAGTTTGTAATTATTTGCATTTTGGAGGGCAGCTGAGGTCAGAAGTTGCAGGTAATGTTGAAGTTCTGAGGAGAAGTTTTCATTCATGGCAACTTAAAGTCCGTTCCAATGACTTGAAACAAAGGGAGGAGTTTTCTTACCTGCAGTGGTATTAGAATGGCTAGAAGCTTATTTAAAGGCACCAAAAATTGAAAAAACCTACAAACATTGCTATATTGATAGTAACGTTTCAGTGTGCAAAAAGAAAGCAGAAACCTTTTTTTTTATCAGAACTCTTAAGATATGAAGATGCATTAATGTTTGTTCTCTTTATTCCAAAAATTAGGAATTAAGAATCTTTATAATCTTGCATGCTATTGTAATAATATTAGTTATTTAATTTATTGTGGTGCTAGGGATTGAACCTAGAGTCTTGCACATGTTAGGCAAGCAATCTACCAGTGAGCTACATCCTCTGTCCTGCTGTGTTTTTTTGTTGTTGTTTTGCTTTGTTGTATACTAAAAAAGAATCCCCATTAAACGATAACAAGGGATAAGGTAAACAACAAAAGCTATAGAAGCTGGACTCATGCCTGTAATCCTAGGTACTCGGGAGGATTATGGTTTGAAGCTGGCCCCAGGTAAATAGTTCAAGGGACCCTATCTCAAAAATACCCAACACAAAAAAATAGCTGGTGGAGTGGCTCAAGTGGTAGAGCATCTGCCTAGCAAGTGTGAGGCCCTGAATTCAAATCACACTACCACAAAAAAAAAAAGGCCATACAAAAAGAATGCAAAATAAAAAGCCGTTTAGAACTAGTATGTGGGAAAATAACCTTACATATCTCAGGTTGTATTCTGATATATAATAGATGGTATTCATAACTATAATCTTGAAAGGTTAAATCACATGCAAATGGTCCTATTTTAATAAAGTAAGAATGACCATTAGATTGTAAATTACATTTAAAATTCTTTCAAAAGGCTTTCTGCATAAAGGCATTACTTGTATATATGTTCTCTGCAAAGCTTGCTTATCTGAAATGACTCACAGGTTCTTTAATGATTATGGAGAACAGTGGTTTTTATACTTGGAAAGCAGCAATGGAGCACTGGGAAGACTGGAAGCACTTTTGACCTAGACTTTATAACCTCAATAAAGTGGAAATAAAGTCTTAAAGTTGATGTTTTGTAGGTCATTGACTACCTTACAAACTATAGCATCAGTGTTGAAATTGGAACATTCTGACATTAGATTGTGAATTGTAGACAGACTGTTTAAAACCATGTTATATGCCATTTGGGAATTAGGCATTAAGATACATAAAAGATACAAGGGGCTTTTAAAGGAAAAGGTATGAGTATTTGTGGGAAATTTGGGTGATTTCAGACTGTATAACTAGAAAGACATTATATTGTTAAAAAGTACAAATTGGCCAAGCACTGGTGACTCACACCTATAATCCTTACTTAGAGGCAGAGATCAGGGGGCAGGGGTTATGGATGGGAAAGAGTAAAGCTGTAAGAAATGAAATTTATTATTACAAGAACAGGATATTAGATGAGATGGTAAATTGACTTTCAGAAAAGAATGATGGGAGAACTGGGCACTAGAGGCTCATGCCTGTAATCCTAGCTACTCAGGACATAGATAAGAAGGATTGCGATTTGAAGCCAGCCCAGGCAAATAGTTTGTGATACCCTATCTCAAAAAAACCCATCACAAAAATGGGCTGGTGGAGTGGTTCAAGGTGTAGGCCCTGAGTTCAAACCCCAGTACCACAAAAAAAAAAAAAGTAAGTACAAATTACTGTCCATGTTTTCTAGAAACGACTACAGAAAGAACTGTTGGCTTTGCAAAATGACCCACCTCCTGGGATGACTTTAAATGAAAAGAGTGTTCAAAATTCAATCACACAGTAAGTATTTAATTTTTAAGTGTCTCTTGCTTTTATTGTTGATATAATGTATGAATATATACTTTTTAAAAATACTGAGTTATCTTCATATTTTGTCACACTTACCCGAGTAAGAAAAAAGATCTTGTTTTGTACATTTATATCTACAGTCAGTTTTGTCTTACATCACTATGTCATGTTATGTACATTGTTACCTAATCTGTAAAGCTTTTATTTTTTACTTCTGTTTGCATTTTCATGCTGAATTTAATCTTGTGCCATAAGTTTTTGTTTCTTTGAGGATATCTGGTTTAGAGATAGTTGGCTCCTTTTCAGTAAGGATCATCTCAGTGTGGCGGGGGGAGCTAATGGATGGGTGAATCCAACCATGAGCTCTGTAAGTGCAGTGATGTATTTTGGGTGCTTTGTTCACCTCTAGTGTTCAAAGAATCTGCATCTAAACCTGTAAGTTCAGTATTACTTTCTGCATTTTTAAGTATGTGCAGCAAAAATTTAGCATTCTTTTTAGGCTACTGACACATTGTTCAGTGCCACTGTTTGGCCTGGGCATACCTTCCAACCACTGTTATAATGCTGGAATGACACACAGTGCTTCTTTAGAGTGACATCTTTCAGATTCTTGGTGTCCTTCAGATAAGCATACCCTTGATGGTCTGGACATGTTTCCAGGTGTTCTTAAAGTGAACATGAAGATTTGAACCTCTTGCTGGGCATGGTGGCTCACGACTGTAATACTAGTTACTTGGGTGGCTGAGATTGGGATGATAGCAGTTCGAGGCCAGCCTGGGCAAGAAGTTCTTGAGACTACATCTAAACCAATAAAAGCTGGATGTGGTGGCTCAATGCCTGTCATCCCATCTTCTTCAGAAGCATAACTAGGAAGATCACAGTCTAGGCTGACCCAGGCATAAAGAATGATAACTCTGTTTAAAAAATAATCAAAGCAAAAAGGACTGAGGGTGTGGCTCAGGTGCTAGAGCGGCTACCTGCCAAGTTCCAGGCCCTGAGTTCAAACTCCAGTACTGGAAAAAAACAAAAAGGAACCTCTCGATTTGCATGATTTTTGTGGGAGTTTCTGGGTCAGTAGAGTAGTGAATTTCCAAAGGTCACCTCAGGCTGCTTACAGGAAGAGCTGTAAGTTTTGTTTTGTTTTGTTTTGTTTTGCTGTTGTTTTATGTTTTGTTTTAAGAAAACAGATCTTCAGAAAGTAAGGTTTCTTTTAAGTTTCTTTTTAGCAAGACCACATTTAAAAGCTTTGTCTGAGCTGGGAGTATAGCTGGTAGACTGTGTATGTCTAGTTAGCATGTGTGAAGCCATGTTCAATCTCAGCAGCTAAAAACAACAACAAAAGACCTTTAAGAAATGTGAATACCACCAGGCACCAGTGACTCATACCTGTAATCCTAGGTACTTGGGAGGCTGAGATGAAGAGGATCAAGGTTTGAGACCAGGGCAAATAGTTCTGAAGATCTGATCTCCAAAATAACCACAGCAAAATGGACTGGAGATGTGGCTCAAGTGGAGAGCACCTGCTCTGTAAAGTGCAAAGCCTAGAGTTCAAACCCCAGTCCCACCAAAATTTAAAAAAAAAAAGTGAATACCATTGCCTCCAACCTAGTAAAAAATCATCCCTATGCTACCCTAAAGAAGGAACAAAGATAAAAATTCTAAGGTTGACTTAGAATTAATTATATTCATATAGGGATAATTTGGAAGCAATGCAAATGTTAATAATACAGAAGAGGTTTGTAAAGGTACTGTAGTAAAACAGCATTGCTAGAGTTAAAGTCTGTAGTTAGCATGTAAGGCAAAAATTGTTGTGTAGTCATAATTGCCTTTAGAAATCCTTTATAAAGGTCTTCCTAGCTGGGTGCAGCAGATATACTGTGTCCTAACTACTCTGGAGGTTGAAGTGAGACGATCAGGCCAGGAGCTGAAGACATCTTTCTGTGTGTGGGGGGCGGGTAGGATGACATGTGTCATGTCTTAATCTACAAAGCCAGTTTTTCTTCCAGAGTGGAATAGCTGTTTCTGTGATTAAGAGACAGAATGTGTGGAAAAAAATACCAAATTTAAAACATTAGCCAGATGTGGTGTTGCATACCTATAATAGCAGTTACTCAGGAGATGAGGATCGGGGCAGAACACAGTTTGAGGCTAGCTTGGACAAAATCTTGATGAGACCCCATCTCAACAAAACAAGCTAGGCATGGTTGTGCATGTCCATGGTCCCAGCTACATGGAAGGAATAGGTAGGATTGTCATCCAGACCTAGCCAAAAATAACTAAAGCAAAAAAGGACTGGGGACATGTCTCAAGTGGTAGAACCCCTGCCTAGCAAGTGGTAGGCCTTGAGTTCAGATCCCAGTACTGCCAAAAATCAAAAACCATTAGCATTACAGAGTAATACTAACAGGAATTTAAGAATTGAGAGAACAGCCCATTCACTTCTCCCATCACATCCTTACTCTGGGTTGTATGCTCATAATCAGAACCATAAACATTGATGATTCGAATTTATATAGTGTACACATAATGCAGCTACTAGATTTCCTTTTTTTTTTTGCAGCACTGGGATTTGAACTCAAGGCCTCACACTTGCTGGGCAGAACCACTCCACCAACCCTTTTTTGTGGTGGGTTTTTTCTATATAGGGTCTCATGGAACTATTTCCCTGGCTGGCTTCGAACCACAATCCTCCTGATCTCTGCCTCCTGAGTAGCTAGGATTATAGGCGTGAGCCACTGGTGCCTGACCTGGATTTCCAATTCTTGTAGGCATCAATGATGTAGGAAACTACAAAACAATTAGAATGAAATTTGCCCCCCATCCTCCCCCAAAAAAAGTTTTTTACTTAACAGTGCTTATGTCTGGGTGACATTTTTTTTTTTTTTGTATTTTTCTAAATTTAACTAGCAAAAAATTATTAAAGGTCTGATTGTGTGGCTCAAGTAGTAGAGCACCTACTTATAAGCATGAGGTCCTAAGTGTAAGCCTCAGTACTGTGAAAAAATACTTACTATGCACAGTGTTGAAAATTATGTCTTTGACTTACCTCATACAGATATTACATGATTAACGAGGTATTTGTTTAGCTGTTATTTAAAAAGGTGTTTGTATAGGTCACAGGTGAATTTATGATGTGTTAATGAGTCCTAAATTTTATATACACAAAATGAAAGAGCACCAAGAAGTCTTGTAATGTTTCCTTGGATTATCACTCTGGGTAGTTTGTGTATATGTTATGTGTTGCTGGGGACTGAGCTCAGAATGCTAGGCAAAGGCTCTTCCACTGAGCTACAAACCCACACATTTTTGTTTTCTGCACTGCTGTTGCATTGTATGAACTGTGTACTGGCTCTGATGTCAAGAGTCTGCTCAGTGTTTTATGTATGTAGTGTCATTTCTCTTTCCAGCAGTCCCAAGGTGAATATCCCTGGTTTACAACTGATGTTCTTGCCATGCTTTCTGAATGTGAAAAGCCACTCTTAAGGGTCTGTATGCTTTAAATGGTTTCTTTCAGAGGATAAGTGTATTTATTATTTTATATACTCCTCAGTCCATACTATGTGGGGTGATGACTAGAATCCTAAAACTCCGGTCTTTATCTTTTGTTTGTTTCCCTGTATTTATTTATATATTTTTATTTTTTTTCACAGTACTCAGGAACCTAGGTCCTCACACATGCTAGGCGAGTGCTCTACCATTGAGATACATCCCCATTGTGTTTGTGTGTGTGTCTGTGTGTGTGTGTTGCTGGGGTTTGAATTCAGGGTCTTGTACTTGCTAGGCAGGCTCTGTACCTCTTAAGCCATGCCCGCAGCCCTTTTCTGCTTTTAGTTATATTTCAAATAGGGTCTCTTGCTTTTTCTCTAGGCCAGCCTTGGAGCACTATCCTCCTATGTATCTATGCCTCCTGAGTAGCTAGTATTGTAGGTATGCCCTGTCATGCCTGACTTATTTGAGATGGAGGTCTCACTAACTTTTTGCCCAGGGTGGCCCTGAACTGCCATCCTCCTGATCCCTGCCTCTGGAGTAGCTGGGATTCCAGGTGGGAGCCATTGCCTTCTGGCCCTGTCATTAAGAATGACTTCAGTTCACCTTTGTTCTAAATGTTAACCTATTATCTTTACGATCTTTTTTCTTTATCCCCTCCTTTTAAAGAAAATAAATAGAGGTCGTTACAGAATATACATAAAAACAGAAACAGAGGTACGGGAAAGGCAGAGTAGAGCCTTGACATCAGAATAAGCACACTAATGTCAGGGTAGCTTTCCTTTTCCCCTGCTAGTCTACTTTCAAATGCTGATAAGAAAATAGGTCTGATAGCTATCTTTTGTGTACTCTTTGTTGATAGCTGCTTCCCCATTGCTGCTAACATTGATACCTGAAAGGCAATGGATCAGTTTGTTATTATCGCTAAAGTTTTTCAATTACTGTAAAAACAGTCTTGAAAAAAGTAAGCATAAATGTGGATGAGCACAGCATAGGCTTTGGTGTTATTTCAGATGTGGGATACATCCTTTGCTAGTTTTCTGACCTTGACCTAGTTGTTTAACCCCAGTTTGTCACAGAAGGGAATAGGAAAGGGCTATTAAAAACCCACTCTGGGGGCTGGCGGAATGGCTCAAGTGGTAGAGTGCCTGCCTAGCAAGCACAAGGCCCTGAGTTTAAACTCCAGTACAGCCAAAAACAAAACAAAACACATTCAAGACTTATTGGGAGAATAAACAACTCCATTCCCAGTACCTGGCTTCTCAGTATTTCCTTTCTCCTTCTCACCCCAGTCCCTTTTTATCTTAAATTTTAATTTTTTTTTTCTATTCTAGGTGGATTGTAGACATGGAAGGTGCACCAGGTACCTTATATGAAGGGGAAAAATTTCAGCTTCTGTTTAAGTTTAGTAGTCGATACCCTTTTGACTCTCCTCAGGTAATTTACCTTGCTTTTAATTTTTTTATTGTGTTTCTAGATTATAGCAAAAATACTAAATTAGTGATTTTTCTTGTCCTGTTTGGTTTTGTGCAGTGCTGGGGATCCAACCCAGATCTTCATGCATTCTAGGCAAGTGCTCTACCTCTGAGCCACACCTCCAGCTAAATTAATGATTCCTGGTTAAGTAAAAACATAAAAAAGAAACTCATTATAAATGTGGATGAATTTGTTCTCTTACTGTCTTGTTTTTAATTTAAGTCTTATGAACTTTTTATTTTATTGGGCGAGGGCTTTGCTGCTTTTGCGCATCAAAGAACTTAAGATGGATTGTTATCCATGGGTTTTAGCAGAAAAAGAGACAGAAATCTAACCAGGCTTCTGAGTTGTGGAAGAAGTTAGCATTTTCTAATAATTGCAGGCACTTTTTTCTAGATCAGGTGATTGACCTGGTAAAAAGGCGAAGGTCCTGTTGGGAGAAGTGCATCTTTGATTTTCCATTGACATGCTGTCTTTGCAGCCTTGTAATACTTCAAGGGCGGAGTGTGTTAGGAGACCTTAAATACCTGGATATCACCCCTAGATCTGATTGTTATAATTTGAGGCACAGTTAGTTTAGTTAATGGCTTAATATGTAAGACCAAAAGATGAGGGTAGGGTGATAGAGGAACAGTTTTGAGAGCTATTTTATTTCTAGTAAACCATTAATTGGAGGTTAGAGAAAGGGAGACACTAGGATGACCTCCAGCTTCCTGGCTTGGTAAGATGGATAAATGAATTACTAGAACTACTTATTCTTCAGAGAATTATTATAACAAAGTATTTTTTAATTTTGAGGTTTAGGAGATCTGTTGCCTAAAATAATGAGATAAGTCCTCTCTGGTATTGCTTATCTAATTACGTATTTTGGAAAGTGAATCAAATACCTTAAATTCATCCTGTCAGGTGCTAAAATGTACTATTTTGAGGAAAGTCTTTTCTTTGCCACCTGTAACAGAATATTCCAAATATTGCTTAATGTTTTCTTGGCCATAGGAGAAAATAGATGGCTGTCAGTTATCTTATTGTGGTATAAAGATAATTGTTTTAAGCATAGGATTGAGTGGATATTGACTCCTTGAGTTCTAAAGATTTCCTGTGAACAGAAAACTGTGAGACTTTTTGGTCTCATTTTTACAATTTTCATAAAAATTGCAAGTCAGTGGATATATGCTATCATGACAAGGCATCTATAATAAACATCTTTAGACTAACATCAAAAGTAAATGTCTTCCTTATTTTAAAAAACTTACTTCTACTTTCTCTTGTTGACTTCTGGTATCCATCCCCTTCTTACCTACAACCTTTTCTACCTTCAACAACATTTTGGCACACTACACAACAACTCAGATGCTTTAAACTAGGGAGATACTGGAGAAGGCTTATTTTGGAAGTCACAAGCTTTTATCAAAGGAAAACAATATTTCTGAAGATCTGAAACCAAGTCAAAACAGTGTTCACTTATCTCTCCCTCTCTTAGTCTTTTATTCTGAATCAAATGTTGGCTTCAGTTTCATCTGCAATAAATTCTATCATCTACTTCAAATTTCACTTATTCTCCTTTTCGGATTTCACTTGTGCTTGCTCTTTGGATTTTGATATTCTCCAGGTTCCTTTTTCAGTACTCCCTTATTCTTACTTTTCTTCCATCTTCAACGGTCTTAAATAGCTAACTCACAGATCTCCTGCTGTAAGTACACCTAAGGTTTAATTCTAAACCATTTTTGGACATACCTACTTTAGAATTTCCAGCCATTTCAAATTTAACTTACCTAAATTCAGCCCTTTTCAATAATTAAATAAGAAGATGATTGATTGATTTTGGTGGGATTTGGGGTTTGAACTCAGGGGCTTCATGTTTGGAAAGCAGGTTCTCAAAAAGCAGGCGCTCACTTGAGCAACCCTTCCAGTCCATTTTGCGCTGGTTATTTTGGAGATCGGGTCTTGAAAACTATTTGCCTGGACTGGCCTTTAGCCACAGTCCTCTGAGTCTCAGCCTCCCAAGTAGCTAGGGTCACAGGTGTGAGCCACCAGTGCCCAGCTAAGAAAATGTCTAATCTTGAACTCGGTTACTGTTTACCTTCTGCTTTGTGTTAAATTGTTTCCTTTTCCTTACTCTTCTATATGTGTAATGTCTTTTGTTTGTTTGTTTGTTTATTTGGTGTTACTGGCATTTGAACTTGGGGCCTTGCTTTTGCCAGTCAGGTGCCGCTGCCACTTGAGTCGTTCCCCCACCCCCACATGTGTGATTTTTAAAAATCCTTTTGAGATGTTTTACGTCAGCCCATTCCTTATTTATCTTACTATCAGTGTTATAACCCAAGGGTTTTTTAAATCAGTCAGTTGGAGTGTTCTAGTAGCCTCTAGCTCTTTTACTGTACATCTGTTCACAGCTCTATTAGATATCTATGATGGCATAATTATCTCGTGAAATTTTTTTTTTTCTTTTTTACAGTGCTGGAGATCAAACACAGGGCCTTGCACGTGCTAGGCAAGTCATCTACCAGTGAACTACATCCTTTACCTTCGTTGATTTTACATATATACACGTGTATCACCCCTGCCACAACCCTGCATCTGTCCCTATCCCTGTCTCCTTCACATGCCCCACACACACAGTAAAATTTTGAGTGGTTATTTATTTCCTCTGGGATCAAGTCTTTAGCTTGGCATTCAAGTATCTTCAGGATGTGTCATAACTTAATCTTTCTGTGCACGTTACTTCTCAGTATTCTATAGAGTAATGTTTGTATCATACTTCGTAATTTAACTTCATTCTTTCTTTATTTTTTGCTTTTGGCACTGAGGTTTGAACTCAGGGCCTCATGCTTGGTAGGCAGGCACTCTTACTGCTTGAGTCACTCTGCCTTAACTTCATTCTGATTTTATCTTCTAATAGCTCTTATTGAAGTGACTAGGCGAGGTGGATTCAGTCTAATTTTTTAAGTGAAGAAATTGAAGCTTATTTATGGTTTGATAACTAGTTAGTAGAATAGTCAAAGCTCAAAATCCGTGTCTTTTTTCTTGCCTGTGTTATACTGCTGCTTAAATAGAGGTTTTATAATGGAAAAACTGCCTATTTATCCTTACAGTAGTTGTCTCTCAGAAAGTGAAATGTGTGTGAAATGATTATATGTGGAGTGTGAAAAGCTGCAGGGCAGTCATTCCCATTCTTTTGGAATGCTACCTTTTTTTGGTGGAACTGGGATTTGAACTCTGGACTTCCTGAGTCCCAGGAACTGGAATTTGAACTCAGGCTCTCTGCCACATGAGCCATACCTCCAGTCCATTTTGCTCTGGTTATTTTTGAGATGGGGTCTCCCGAACTATTTGCCTGGGCTGTCCTTGAGCCACAATCCTCCTGATTTCAGCTTCCTAAGTAGCTAGGAATTTAGGTGTGAGCCACCAGCACCTAGCTTTTTTTGTTACCTTTTTTTTTTTTTAAGTAGTACTGGGGTTTGAACTCAGGGTCTTGTGCTTGCTAGGCAGACACTGTACAACTTAATTCCTAGCCCTTTTCGCATTACTTATTTGCCACATAGGGTCTCACACTTGCTCGCTTTACTTTTTAAAACCAGTTCATTTTGTGTCCCTCATGTCATAGAAGTTATGTATTCTACTGCGTTCAATTGAGAAATGACAGAACTATTCTGAGGCTAGTAATATTTTTTAATTATTTAAATTTTTTTAGGGTTGGGGTGTGGTTCAAGTTGTAGTACTGCCAAAAAAATGTATTAATCATATCATCATCTGGTTTTAAAGTAAGCATAGTGGATCCAACAGTGAGTGTTTGATGTACATATAGACTTCAAGGTTTGTCCATGCTCTGGGGAAGTGGTTGGGGTCACTCATTTAGACACTCTTTTGGTAAAATTCTCCATTCACCAAAGGTTTTGATGAAGCCCTGTAGCACTGGCACTACATCATTTAGTAGTTCATTTTCCTATGGATTGGGCAGTATTGAATGCATGACACTTAGAACAGTAGAATTCAGGAAGTCTCTCTGGAATAAAACAATCACTCAATCTCAATTGTGACGTTGCTACTTTTGTACTTCTGAACAAGGTCTGTAAGGCCTTTGTAGTATGCTGTTGCCCTCCGCCATGGCTCATTTCTTACATTGCACTCCACTTTATTGTGAAAAGCTCTCTGTGTAAAGTAGGGTGTTTGTTTTGGTCATTTTCTCTAAAAGAAATGAAAGGGCTGGGCATGGTGGCTCACATCTATAATCCCAGCCACCCAAGAGACAGACATCAGGAGGATTGCAGTTTGAAGCCAGCCTGGGCAAAAAGTTAGTGAGATTCCATCTCAACAAATAAGCTGGGCAAAATTCCAGACCCGATTCAGAAAACAAAAGGTGGGGGACTGGGAGGTGTGACTCAATTGGTAGATCACCTGCCTAGCAGTTGAGGGCATCCAGGACACAGGAGAGGGAGATAGGCTATTACAGCACTCCAGGTGAGAGGGGTGATGACTTGCACCAGAAGAATGGCAAGGGGAGATTATGGAAGGTGGACATACTTGGGGCCAATTTGAGAGGTTGAATCAACAAATGTTTGCTGATGGGTTGAAGGGGAGTATGAAGACAGGAGAAAGGGAATACTCCACAGGGGACAACAAATCACTTTGGAAGCAAAAGGGAAAGCAGTGATCTACCTAGGATAGAATGAGAAGGCAAAGAAAACCTATTTGAGTTGGTTAAACTGGGATTCAAGTACGTGAAGAGTTTACGTGAGAAGTATAGGCCAAGACGTGAAAAGATTTGCTTCTTAGACTTGTGAGCATACGCTTTTGTGCTTTTCTGTATAGTTACATGCAGGACTGTAGATTGGAGTAGAAGGGTATTTTGGGGCTGATGAAAGATGCAGTGCACAGGAGCTGAATATTTATCTCAGGCATTTGTGGTAAAATCCTCAAAGCTTAGTATCTTAACTCTGCTGCTTTTCCTTCTACTTTCTCTT